AATTCGCCTACAATCAAAGAGCATTCTGAACTCCACCAATGATGGAATTGAACCAAAATTGGCACAAAGAACTCCCACGACGAACAGAAAATACTGGAAGGGTTTGGTGGGTATTGACCTTGAGTTTGGAAGTTGTAGTTCACTTACATCCAGAGAGCACTGTGGACTCGAACCATGATGGATCTGGACCAAACTCAGCATGGATACTGAATATGCCCAAAGGTGAACGCTGGTGTAGTTTGGGGGAAATAGACCTCAACATTTGGGAGTTGTAGTTGCTGGGATTTATAGTTCACCTACAATCAAAGAGCATTCTGAACCCCACCAATGATAGAATTGGGCCAAACTTCCCACACAGAATCTCCATGACCAACAGAAAATACTGCGTTTTCTGATGGTCTTTGGTGACCTCTCTGATACCCCCCTTGCAACCACCCCAGGGGTCCCGACCTCCAAGTTGAGAAACGCTGCATTAGGAAGACATTGGAGGGGCCTTTGGCGAAGGGAGTCTGAGGCCTTTTGAAGAGAAGCTTTGGGGGTCTTCTGGAGAAGGGGAGGTTTCGGAGATACCTTATAGAAAGGGGAGGCTTTGGGGAAAGCTTTGGAAGGGGAAAGAGGGGGTTTATTGATAAGGGAGGCTTTGAGGGGCCTTTTATTGAAAAAAGGGAGACTTTGGGAGAAAAATGAGGTTTTGGGGGAATCATTTTTGGAGAGGGGAGGATTTGAGGATCTTTTGGAGGGAGAGAAACTTTGGGGTTTGTTTATTTTGGGGGCAAAGAGGAGGCTTATGGAGATGGGAAACTTTTGGGTGAAAAATGTTTTGGGGAGCTTTTTGGAGAGGTGAAGCTTTGGGAGACGTATGGGAGACAAGGGTCTTCTGGAGAAAAGACTTTGGGGGGCCTTTGAGGAGAGAGACTTTAAGGCAGCGTTTCTCAACCTGGGGGTCTGGACCCCTAGGGGGATTGTGAGGGGGTTGCCAAATCCTATCAGAAAACACAGTATTTTGTTAGTTATGGGGGTTCTGTGTGGGAAGTTTGGCCCCATTCTATCATTGGTGGGGTTCAGAATGCTCTTTGATTGTAGAACTATAAAGCTCAGCAACTACAACTCCCAAATGTCAAGATCTATTTCCCCCAAACTACACCAGTGTTCATATTTGGGCATATTGAGTATTTGTGCCAATTTTGGTCCAGATCCATCATTATTTGAGTCCACAGTGCTTTCTGGCTGGAAGTGAACTACAACTCCCAAACTCAAGGTCAAGGCCCACCAAACTCTTCCACTATTTTCTGTTGGTCATTGGAGTTCTGTATGCCAAGTATGATTCAATCCCATTGTTGGTAGAGTTCAGAATGCTCTTTGATTGTAGGTGAGCTATAAATTCCAGCAACTACAACTCCCAAATGACAAACTCAATACACCCCAACCCTTACAATATTCAAATTTGGGCATATTGGGTCTTTGTGCCAAATTTGGTCCCGTGAATGAAAATACATCCAAATCAGATATTTACGTTATGATTCATAACAGTAGCAAAGTTACGCTCATGAAGTAGCAATGAAAATAATATGCTTGGGGGTCACCACAATATGAAGAACGGTATTAAGGGGTTGCGGCATTAGGAAGGTTGAGAAACACTGCTTTAAGGGACCCTTTGGAGGTCCTTTTGGAGGAACTGACCTGGCAGAGGAAGAAGCTTTGTGGGAGCATTTGGAGAAGGACGAGGTTTTGGGGGACCTTTTGGAGAAGAGAGGCTTTGGGGACCTTTTGGAAGGAGATAAACTTGGGGGGGGTGAAATGGAGGCTTCTGGAGAGGGGAAGCTTTTGGGTGAGGATGGTTTTGGGAGGACTTTTGGAGAGCTGAAGCTTTGGGGGGCTTATGGAAGGGAAGACTTTGAGGGTCTTTTGGAGAAGAGAGACTTTGGGAGGCTTTTGAGGAGAGAGGCTTTGAGGAGACCTTTTGGAAAGAGGGAAAAGACCTGGGTGGGGAAGAAGCTTTGGGGAACATTTGGAGAGGGGAGACTTTGTGGGGTGCTATTGGAAGAAGAAATGCTTTGGGGCCTTTTGGTGGGAGAGAAAGGGGGTTTTCTGTTTAGAGAGGCTTATGGAGAGGGGTAAGCTTTGAGAAGCTTTTGGATGAGAAATGGTTTTTTGAGGGGAGCTTTTGGAGGAGGGAGGTTTTGGGGAGACTTTTGAGAAGGGAGGGTTTTGGGGGGCTTATGAAAAGGGAGGCATAAGGGATCTTTTGAAGAAGAGAGACTATGGGGAGGCTTGTGGAGAGAGGAAGCTTTGCATGAAAAATGTTTTGGGGGACTTTTTGGAGGGGGAGGCATTTGGAAAGGGGGTCTTGGAGGAGGAAGACTAGGGAGTAGATGCTTTGGGAGAGTATTTGGAGGTTTTGGGGCCTTTTGGAGGGAGAGAAACTTTGGGGTTTGTTTTTGAGAGGTGGAGTGGAGCCTTTGAGGCCTTTTGGAGAGGTGAAGCTTTGGGGGGCTTATGGAAGGGGAGCCTTTAGGGGTCTTTTGGAGAAGAAAGACTTTGGGGAGCTTTTGAGGAGAGGCTTTGGGGAAACCTTTTGGATGAGAAAGGTTTTGGGAGGCTTTTCGGAGAAGTGAAGCTTGGGGAGCTTATGGAAGGGGAGACTTGGGGGTCTTTCCAACAAGAGAGATGGGGGGCATTGGAAATGTAGATTCTTTAGGGAGGCTTATGGAGAGAGGGAGCACTGAATTAAGGTTTTGGGGAACCTTTTTGGAGAGGGAAGTTTTTTGGAAAGGGGGAGTCTTGGAAGAGAAAGACTTGGGGAGAGGTAGAAGTTTTGGGGAGCATTTGGAGAAGGAAGAGGTTTTGGGGAGCCTTTGGAAGAGAGAGAAAAATGGGGTTTTTCTTTATGGGGAGGAGAAGCTTTGGGGAGCTTTTGGATGAGAAAAGGTTTTGGGGGGCTTCTGGAGAAGAGGAGGCTTTGAGGAGCTTTTGGAGGAAAGAGGTTTTGGAGAAACCTTTTGAAGAAGGGAAAGTTTGGGGGAGCTTATGGAAAGGGGAAACGTAAGGAGTCTTTAGAAGAGAGACTTTGTGGAGGTTTATGTAGAGAGGGAGCGTTGAATGAAAAAGGTTTTGGGGGCCCTTTTTTGGAGGGGGGCATTTGGAAAAGAAGGAAGGCTTTGGGGCCTTTTGGAGGGAGAAACTTTGGGGGGGTTTTTTGGGGAGGAGTGGAGACTTATAGAAAGCTTTTGGGCATGAAAGATTTTGGGGAACCTTTTTGGAGAGGTAAGGCTTTGGGGGGCTTTTGAAAAGGGGAGCTCCTTTTGGAGGAGAAGGACTTGGGGAGAGAAAAGCTTTGGGAAAGCATTTTGAATAGAATAGAATTTGGAGAAGGGAGAGGTTTTGGACAGCGTTTTGAAGAGAGAAAAACTTGAGTTTTCCTTTTTTGGGGGGAGAAGATTTGGGGAGCTTTTGGATGAGAAAGGGTTTTGGGGGTGGGCTTCTGGATAAGGGGGGCTTTGAAGGACTTTTGGAGGAGGGAGATTTTGGGGGAACCTTTTGGAGAAGGGAGGGTTTTGGAGGGCCTATGGAAATGGGAGATGTAAAGGGTCTTTTGGAGAAGAGAGACTTTTGGGGAGCTTTCCAGATGTGAGAAACTTTGGGTTTTTTTGGGGGGAGGGGAAGTGGAGGCTTATAGAGAGGGGAAGTTTTGGGGTGAGAAAGGTTTTGGGGGGACCTTTTGGAGAGGCTTTTGGAAAGGGGGGTCTGGGGCTCCTTTTGGAGAGGTTTTGAGGAGCTTTTTGGAGAGAGAAAAACTTGCATTTTCTTTTTGAGGGGAGGAGAAGCTTTGGGGAGCTTTTGGATGAGAAAGGGTTTTTTAAGGGGGTTTCTGGATAAGGAGTGGTTTTGAGAGGCTTTCAGAAGAGGGAGATTTTGGGGAAACCTTTTGCAGAAGGGTTTTGGGAGGCTTATGGAAATGGGAGATGTAAAGGGTCTTTTGGAGAAGAGAGGCTTTGGGGAGCTTTCCAGGGGTGAGAAACTTTGGGGTATGTTTTTTGGGGGGAAGTGGAGGCTTATGGAGAGGGGAAGCTTTTGGGTGAGAAAGGTTTTTGGGGGACCTTTTGGAAAGGGGGGTCTTTGGGGATCCTTTTGGAGGGGTTTTGAGGAGCTTTTTGGAGAGAGAAAAACTTGCATTTTCTTTTTGGGGGGAGGAGAAGCTTTGGGGAGCTTTTGGATGAGAAAGGGTTTTTTGGGGGGGGGGTTCTGGATAAGGAGAGGTTTTGAGGGGCTTTTGGAGGAGGGAGAGGTTTTGTGGAACTTATGGAAAGGGGAGATGTAAGGGGTCTTTTGGAGAAGAGTGACTTTGCTGAGATTTATGGAGAGAGAGAGCTTTGAAGGGCCTTCAGGAGAAGAGAGATTTTGGGGAGCCTTCTGGAAGTGGGGGAAAAATGTGGGGTTTGTTTTTGGGGGGAGAAAGTGGAGGCTTATGGGTGATAAAGGTTTTGGAGGACCTTTTGGCAAGGGAGAGTCTTGGGGGCTCCTTTGGGAGGAGAAGCTTTGGGGTGCATTTGGAGAAGGGAGAGATTTTGGGGCGCTCTCTGGGTGTGAGAAACTTTGGGGTTTGTTTTTTCTGAAGGGAAATGGAAGCATAAGGAGAGGGGAAGGTTTGGGGTGAGAAAGATTTTTGAGGGACCTTTTGGAGAGGCTTTTGGAAAGGGGTTTCTGGGGCTCCTTTTGGAGGGGTTTTGGGGAGCCTTTTGGAGAGAGAAACTTTGGGGTTTCCCTTTTTTAGGGAGGGAAAGCTTTGGGTGTTTTTTTTAAGGGGAGCTTCTGGAGAAGGCTTTGAGGAGCCTTTGGGGAAAGGGGGGTCTTTGGGGCTGCTTCTGGAGACCCTTCCACAAGGACCCCCCTCCGACTTCTCCAAATGCGCTTTTACGCACGGACCCCCCTTTTTGCGCAGGGCCTGCCCGCCCCTCCTTGGTCCCCCCAGGAGCCCGACCCCGGCGTCGGGGGCCACTTACCCAGGACCCCCGTCCCGGCCGGGGTTGGGGGCGCTGCCTCGGCCCCTTCGCGCTTGGGGCGCTCGTTTTCGGGGGGCCCCCCTGCCGGGGCCGCACCAGGCTCGGGCATGTCGGCGGCGGCTCAAGACGGAGGGAGGAAGGCGAGGACGAAGGAAAAGAAGGGACTGCGGAGCAGCATCGCACTGCGGCGGCCCCGGGAGACTTGGGGGGGCTCATCCGGAGCAAGGGGGGCCCCAGGAAGGCACCCCCAAGGCGGCCATGGCCCTGCTTGGGAGACAGAGGCAGGCAGGCAGGCAGGCAGGCTCCTTGGGAGCACCTGCAGCAGCAGAAGGAGGGACAAAGGAAGAAGGAGGGAGGGAAGGAGGGAGGCAGGGAGGAGGAGAAAGAGGGCAGGGAGGCGCTTTCAGGCCCCGCTTGCCCTCCCTTCCCGCCCCCCCCCCCCCAAGCCCCCTTTTGATTATTTTTGCCAATGACCAACTCCATCCTTCCTTCTCCTTTCTCTTCTCCTCCAAAGGCATAGATAGGAAAAAGCATCTAAGTCAATTTGCTTGGCTTGTGCATCATTCTACATCTACACACTGTTAGATTGTGGTAGTTTGGGACCCCCTTAAACCCCCCCCCCATGGCTCTCATGTTAAGGGATGCTGGGAGTTGTAGTTTCACAAGGACCCCAGCCTTGTCCATCTTACACTATAGAACTGATGCAGTTTGGGATCCCTAAAGCCCCCATGGCTCCATGTTAATATGTCCTGGGAGTTGTAGTTTCACAAGGGCTCCTGCCTTTGGCATTGACGCTATAGAACTGATGCAGTGTGGGACCCCCTAAACCCCCATGTTAATATGTGCTGGGAATTGTAGTTTCACAAAGGTCCTAGCCTTGAACATCTTGCAATATAGAACTGATGCAGTTTGGATCCCCCTAAATCTCCATATATACATGTTAATATGTGCTGGGAGTTGTAGTTTCACAAAGGTCCCCAGCCTTGTGAGTTGCAGTTTCACAAGGGTCCCAGCCTTGAGCATCTTGCACTATAGAACTGATGCAGTTTGATCCGCCTAAACCTCCATATATCCTAGTTAATATGTCCTGGGAGTTGTAGTTTCACAAGGCCCCCAGTCTTGGGAGTTGTCGTTTTCCAAGTGCCCCTGCCTTTGGCATTGACGCTATAGAATTGATGCAGTGTGGGACCCCCTAAACCCTCATGGCTCCATGTTAATATGTGCTGGGAGTTGTAGTTTCACAAGGGTCCTAGCCTTGAGCATCTTGCACTATAGAACTGATGCAGTTTGGACCCCCCTAAACCTCCATATATCCATGTTGATATGTGCTGAGAGTTGTAGTTTCACAAGGCCCCCAGCATTGTGAATTGTCGTTTTCCAAGTGCCCCTGCCTTTGGCATTGACGCTATAGAATTGATGCAGTGTGGGACCCCATAAACCCCCATGGCTCCATGTTAATATATCCTGGGAGTTGTAGTTTCATAAGGACCCCCAGCCTTGTACATCTTACACTATAGAACTAATGCAGTTTGGGATCCCTAAATCCCCCATGGCTCCATGTTGATATGTCATGGGAGTTGTAGTTTCGCAAGGACCCCCAGCCTTGTACATCTTACACTATAGAACTGATGCAATTTGGGATCCCTAAATCCCCCATGGCTCCATGTTAATATGTCCTGGGAGTTGTAGTTTCACAAGGGACCTAGCCTTGAGCATCTTGCACTATAGAACTGATGCAATTTGTATCCCCCTAAACCTGCATATATTCACGTTAATATGTGCTGGGAGTTGTAGTTTCACAAGGGTCCTAGACTTGAGCAAATATTATAATATTTATACTATTATTTATTATATTTACTAGCCATCCCCTGCCACGCGTTGCTGTGGCCCATATGGGGGTTCTGTGTGGGAGGTTTGGCCAATTCTATGGTTGGTGGGGTTCAGAATGCTCTGTGATTGTAGGTGAACTATGAATCCCAGCAACTACAATTCCCAAATGTCAAGATTCTATTTTCCCCAAACTCCACCGGTGTTCACATTTAGGCATATTGAGTATTCATGCCAAGTTTGGTCCAGATCCATCATTGTTTGAGTCCACACGGCTCTCTGGATGCAGGTGAATTACAACTCCAAAACTCAAGGTCAATGCCCACCAAACTCTTCTAGTATTTTCCATTGGTCATGTGAGTTCTGTGTGCCAAGTTTGGTTCAATTCCATCGTTGGTGGTGTTCAGAATTCTCTTTGATTGTAGGTGAACTATAAATCCCAGCAACTACAACTCCCAAATGACAAAATCAATGCCCCCCAATCCCCCCAGTATTCAAACTTGTATCGGGTATTTGTGCCAAATTTGGTCCAGTGAATGAAAATACATCCTCCATGTCAGATATTCACATTATGATTCAGAACAGTTGCAAAATTACAGTGATAAAGTAGCAATAAAAATAATATTATGGTTGGGGGTCACCACAACATGAGGAACTATATTAAGGGGTCAAGGCATTAGGAAGGTTGAGAAACACTGCCCAAAACCCTCATGGCTCCCATGTTAATATATATGCTGGGAGTTGTAGTTTCACAAGGGCCCCAGCCTTGGGCATCTTGCACTGTGGAATTGATGCCATTTGGGACCCTCAACCCCCCCCCCCCATGGCTCACTTGCTAAGGTATGCTAGGAGTTGCAGTTTCACAAGGGCCTTCCCTGCCAAACTACAACTCCCCAGGATTCCCTAGCATTGAGCCTTGGGAATTGCTTCTATTCTATTGTGGAGATGCATCTTTCAACCGCCAGGCAGGGCGCAATACTATGCTTGAAATATATACAAATATTCATTAAATGTTAATACCATGGAAGCCTGGGAGTTGTAGTTTCACAAGGATTCCATCGCATCCGTCAATAACTCCCAGGATTCCATCGCATCCGGCCATGGTCGGGAATGTGAAGTCTGAATGCATTCATTCATGGCCATTTGTCAGGGCACCAGCAATATATTATTATTATTACTATATTATTATTATTACTATATTATTATTATTACTATATTATTATTATTGCATCATCATCATCATTATTTTATTATTGAATGCCCGTTGCTCTGAAAATGTCCCTTTCCCAAAAACCTGATGGAATAAAGAGGAAAGGCAGTGGGAACGGGGTGCTTGGACTGCCATTCCCATCATCCCCACACAAAGGAGTGCTGGGTGCTGCAATCCCAAACCTCCTAATCCCCAGTCCTCTGGCCTTGTTTTTCCTCCTTGTCTTGACCTCAAAATTCCTTCCTGGCCAAAAGTCAGCTGGTTATTTTTAGAGCCAAGGAAGGATAGAAATATCCACTTGGTAACCCAACCTGGGATACATAGTTCCTTTGCTGACTCTGGGCTTTTTGGGGTTTCTGCTCTGCAAACAGCTATAGTTCCCATGTCCCTCCCTCCACTGACATTGCAGTTTATAGTGGGCACCATGAACCCTGCCAGTGTCCTCTATGAACACCATCCTGCCCCTCACCCAGGTGAAGGCTTTCATGTGGGTACAATTTCGTCCTAGATGTTAATTTTCCTCCACACCCCAGGGTTCCTTTTTCTCTCCATTGGCGTGGAATTTGTATGACCCCACCCACTGCCTCTCCCTTAACCATTTCCTACCCTTTCCTATGGTACACAACAAACAGAGGATTTGATCCATAACTGAACAAGAAGTTTCAGAAGAATTCACCATGATTTACAGGAGTTGTACTTGACCTACAACCAGAGAGCACTGTTAATCCAACTAACGATGAATCTGGCTCAAACTTGCCATGGATGATGGGACTTGCAGTACCTTCACTGATACTGTGACCCCCACCGACAATGGACTAGGACCAAACTTGGCACGGAGAAGGCCCATGACCAACTGAACATACTGCAAGGGTTTGGGGAAATGGACCTTGATTTTGAGAATTATAGTTCACCTACTTCCAGAGAAACTGTGACCCCCCCACCAACAATGGACTGGGACCAGACTTGGCACAGAGAAGCCCCATGACCAACTGAACATACTACAGGAGTTTGGGGAATTGACTTTGATTTTGGGAGTTATAATTCACCTGCATCCAGAAAGCACTGAACTCAGCCGACGTCAGATCTGGACAATTTCACACACCGGCCCAACAAGGCCAACTGTGCATACAGACCTGGTTTGGGAGTGATTGACCTCGAATCTGGGAGTTGTAGTTCACCTTTATCCAGAGAGCCCTGAATCCAGCCGACGACGGCTCTGGACCAAATTTGGCACACAGGTCCAATATGGCCAACTGCAAATGTTGGAAGGGTTTGGGGGTGATTGCCCTGAGAATTGTAGTTCACTCTTATTCAGAGAGAACTGAACCAGGCCAACAACGGATCTGGACAAAACTTCAGTGTTATTACTTAACATCCCAAAACAAACAATGCCTTCTTCTAATAACCCGGGCACCGCCGGGTCCCCAAGCTTGCGCATATATATATATATATATATATATATATATATATATATATATCACACACACACACACACACATACACCCATCTAATGCAGTTTAATGCAATTGTAGACCCATATAATGTGGACTCATATAAAGCAGTGCAATGCAACTGTAGACCTGTATAACACAGACCCATATATTGCAGTTCAATGCCATTGTAGAGCCATCTAATGCAGTTCAATACAACTGTAAACCCATATAAAGCCGTTCAACGAAGTTGTAGACCCACATAATGTGGACCCACATAGTACAGTTCAATGCCGTTGTAGACCTATATAATGCAGATCTATATAATGCAGTTCAATGCAATTGCAAACCCATATAGGGAGGACCAATATAATGCTGTTCAATACAATGTAAATCCATATAATGTGGATCCATATATTGCAGTTCAATGCAACCATAGACCCATATATTTCAGTTCAATGCAACCACAGACCCATATGTTGCTGTTCAGTGCAACTGCAGACCCATATACTGCAGTTCAGTGCAATCGCAGACCCATATACTGCAGTTCAATGCAATCGCAGACCCATATACTGCAGTTCAATGCAATCGCAGGCCCATATATATTGCAGTTCAATGCAACCGCAGACCCATATAATGCCGTTCAATGCAATTGTTGACCATGTAATGCAGACCCATATAATGCAGTTCATTGCAACTGTAGTAGACCCATACAATGCAGTTCAAAGCATGTAGACCCATATAATGCAATTGAACACATATAAAACAGATCGACAGTTTATTGCAATTGTAGACCCGTATAATGTGGACCCATATAATGCAGTTTGATGCAATTGTAAACGCATATAGTGCAGTTCAATGCAACCGCAGGCCCATATAATACAGA